GACAGTAAAAATCACGCCACACGCCTTTTCTACGATTATAACAGACGATGTAATTTTATCAGCGATATAGCAACGTAGAAGTATGATTTGGTGATCAGATAGACGTTGCGAGCGTTCAGGATTCCTAACAGTAATCACATTTCTCCGGTGATGAAAACGCGTGAAAATTCGCATCCTTCATACGGTACGCACCAGTAATATCTTGACCTTGGGCACACGCATGGAATGCGCCAAACAAGAAATCCGAGCGATGTTCGAGGACACAAATGTTAGAAAGCACCACTGTAGTCGAAGTAAACAAACACAACGGCACGGGCGTTTCTGCTGTCTTGAGAGTGCCGCCACGACATCGCCGCACAAGTAGGTGGATCTTCCCTTCTAGTACGTGCTGGGTTATCTAGTGACACACGACGAAAATTCACAGTCTAGGATAGCGCTTTTACGCGGAACGATAAGCTTTCACCACGCCGTCCACGTCGACGATCACCACCGACGCCATGTTTGCAAATAGAAGGAGCCGGCCCGCGACCGGCATGCAACGCGCGCGACCCATTCTCTTAAACGAAAAAATAGTCAGAGTGCAGGCGAGCTGGTGTAAGTTGGACATGATTGTAAACCTGAGACTGGGGCAGGAAGAGAACACAACAGAAGGTAGTAAAAGAGGAGGCAACGTGACGTTGCCTCCTCTTTTACTACCTTCTGTTGTGTTCTCTTCCTGCCCCAGTCTCAGGTTTACAATCATGTTCATTCTCTTCGACGTGTGATTGGTCTGTCGTTGCGGTTGTTTCGGTTGTTTGCAACGCAGCGGGGAAAGTTGGGCTCGCTCCAGCTCCTTGCGTCGTGAACGACACGTGCGTGCGTCCCTCCGTCGCTATGGCAACTTACGGTTGCAGACCCTTGCAACGGTCGTTTCGATTGTTCCGGTCGTTCCGGTCGCTACGGACGCATGTGTGCGAACGGGCCTTTAGACGGCCACGTGTCGCCGGCGGAGGGCCGAGCGCGCGCTTTCGTGAAGTAGCCGCACCGAGTTCGGCGGTAAAACCACTGGAGACTGTCCGACCGGGCTCTGGCTCTGTACGGGTGTCGTGCGGCAGCGCGCGCCAGTACCCATGGCAACCGTTTCTGGCGTCTCTACGTCACTGTGACGTACGCGCCTTGCGGCGCGGCGTGGCGCCGCTTCGATCTGATCGGCCAGATGCGCGCGGTGCGGCTTGCTGCGTAGAAGCAAATATGGCGACAATGGGCCTTTTCCGGGGTTTCCACGGCGCATGCGCGGCAGCAGCAGCAGCAGCAGCAGCAGACTGCAGGGGGCAGAGGCGCTGTCAGGCATCATGCCTTTATCTCTGCCCCCTCTGCGGATTGAAATCCGCAAAACCAATAAAGAAAAAAAAAAAGGTGTCCGCCATTTTTGGTGGCGTGGTACGTCCGACTCGGGGCTGCAGGAGGCAGCGGTGATCGCGCGTTTCGAAGCTCTCCGACAGGCCCTAGCGCTGTTTCTTTGTTGGCTGCAGCAACAATTGCAAGCATTGTCGCGGTTTAAGCTTCTTTAGGTTTCCTTCTGCTAGCCTGCGCTCGACGAAGCGGCAGCTCTGGATTCGGGCGATCCAGCGATACAATGCGGGCGGCTCGTAAAGGCAACCTTCAAAGCACTCCCGCGTTTGCAGTTGCCACTTCAAGGAAGGTTCATATTTTCGTTCATTCATTTTTTTATTTTTGTGTGAATACAAGTCAGCAGATTGATTAGGTATTCTGTCGTGTCGCTTATGTACCACGCAGAGCGAGCGCCTCGGAGTTGGCGTTCCTGGGATAGTGCGTTTCACTGGCACACTTTTTTGTTTACCAATGTGACAGTCTCGCGTTGCTACACAAACTGCCTGTCTGATTTTCGGTTGTTGTAAACATTGAAATAACCCACAGTTTTCAAATATTTATAAATCATTGAGGTAAAGTTGCTATGCTGCACAGTTTGTTGCTACGTGCACAATCAGAAAGTGAAATGGGAGCAGATCTATCGCTACCACGACCGGATCTGCTGGTCTTGTGGTTAAATAAGAAAGAGGAAACAATCATCTTGATGTGTTGTCCTTGTGTATATATCGAGTAAACAAAAAATAAGTTTGCAACATTGTCTACAGGCGCTAAACTAAAAATAAATAAATAAAAGACGAAAACAGGTGTGGCCGATTTTGTGTTTTTTCTTCAGGACCTAGAGTGGAGTCACACACAGCTGTAGCCTGAAGTGGGGTGACATCAATGACGAGGCTCGCTCAGAAATCGCTGGCTGCACGTATTAATCTCAGATATTTATTAAACATGTGTTTTAGTGGTGAATTTGGCCTTGTGAAATTTCAAAGTGGGGCTTTTGCCAGTAAAAAACGAGACCCACAAACTCGCCTGGGTCAGCGGCGCTCGCAAACGAGATTTAGTATAGTCGCTGAACAAGTCCGGCCGTTGACCCGGCCAAGTTTGTTGGTCTCATTTTATAATAGAAATGGAGCTACGCGTTGAAATTTAACAAGGTGAAATCCACCACTACAACACATCCTTGATGAGAATTACCTTAGTACGTTCAGGCGCCGGTGTTTTTCGGACGGTTTAGAGAAAGCTTTCACATTTATGAGAATACATCTTGCGAATTAAAATTTTCGAGCGAATTAAACACATAGCTTGGAATTAAAAAAAAAAAGGTTTCCTTAACTGTAACTTGGTCTCGAACATTTTCTGAATTTACTGCCGGTACTGCATATGACATGATTCCTAGGTTAATGTAACCGTTTGTACTTTCTCATAGGTCGAAGAGAGCTTCAACAATGTCGTCAGTTACAACGGGCGCCACGGCGAAGTCAGTCGTCCATTCATTCGAAAAAAAGAAAGTACAAACGGACGAAGTCGTCCGTAGTTAACGCATTAATTGAAAACAAATCTGCTCGTCGATTGTGTTGGATAGAGGAAAAGCAAACGCTCGGCAGTGAGCGCATTTCCCGACCGCGTTCAGACAGCCAACATAGCTTGGAGAGGGCAGAACCGGAAGCAAGGCAGGCCATCAAAAACGCCTCTCCTGCTTGCCGATAGATGGCGCCCAACATTTGCGGGAAAGGCCCATTAGCTTGATCGGTTCAATAAGGGTTCGGTGCTGTGTGCGTCTCAAACGTTCTCCTGAGAACGTTCTAGCCGTCTGTAAAGTTGTTTGAACTACCCGGGGTGACACGAAAGGTGTTGCGAAACCACCATCTCAACTAGCGACAGGCGAGTCTCCACGAACAACAATGACGGCGCCGAGAAGTAGCGGTATGACTCCGGGCGAGCTTGGTTTGGTGTTTGTGGTTTGAGTTCAAGCTGGGGAATCTGTCTTTCGCAATGTTACTGCCACCGCCGACGAAGGAGTTAACACGAGGGGTCTACAAAAGATGCCAAGACGGTTCATTTTGTACAGCATATATCTTTGCGTCGTCAGGTTTGCCGAGCCAGTCATTCGATGCCACCAGGAGACGAAGAAACATGTTTGTTTCGGAATTCCTGTGCTGGGTTTGTATTTTGTACTGCGTTGGTAGGTATTTACTCTCATCTAAGATGTTTTTACCATGCTCGGGGATAACGCTTTGTGACTGCTGATTTCAGTGTGAATGTCAGAACACCTGATAATTATTGTATTCGGTGTGACTTCCTTGGCATAAAGTCAATAAAGCATCTACATTCGAAGAAAAGCGCCAAGTCTCCCATAAAAACTGGTCTCGTCTCATTCAAGCGATTTGTGCTAGCTTTTTCTGTTCAATCTGGGGCATTTCGAACCCCTGAATGCCTTTGTAGCGGCGTTCTGGGGTCCGTATACATTCTGTGGCATATTTTTTTCAGGAGTGACCCACCGTGCACCTCCAGTTGTCTCAGCGAAGTTAGACACGTTGCATATCAATTTGTAAATTAATGTTTATGCAGTCTACACAATTATTCATTGGAACGATTTCGATAGACTTTTTTCAAACTTCAGCTTGATTGGGTGGAAAACGCAAGCAAACACGGTATTGCTAGTGTTGTCAAAATGCGTTTTCCGGTAATGTTTCCTTTGACATTATTGTTCTAAGAGAAATATGATGATGTTACAATAACGTATGCGCCGGTTTCATTTGTTTATTTTAAATCTGAACACTAATTTGCGTTTTGGGCAAAAATAGTGCACCTTAAAGCGAAGTACTGCCAGACGCTCCTTGGGGTCTACGTTCGGTGGCAATGGTGGCCCAGCAAATATGTGCGTCGCGCGACGGGCTTGTGCGTGCATGTGTCTTGGATAGACAAATATCGCCACATATCGCCAGGTGGTCCGTCATGCGGAGCGCCGCGTGGCGTCCAGTTTCACAGCTCATGTGTCCCCCGCTTTACCGGCGACCGCATCGCTGCGTGCGCTGCGCCGCCATGGAGGGGTCCTCTCTGGTGGCTTTTATTTAAATACGCCGCACGAGAGTCAATGGGAGTCTCATTCCTTGATGACACGCTCAACCCAATGGCAGCATAATCTATCAGAAATCGGCTGCATTTGGAAAAGGGGGTTTTAGGTGCCGTTTGGCCAACGTTTGGCGTGGTTTCAAAGCTGATGACGTCTGTTCGCTCCATGGGACAGTTCATTCTTTCGCATCATTAATCGTTCACGACCAAGGATTCCATTGCGATTTCTGACGCCAGAGCTAGGGCAGGTGAAAGCGGCCTATATTCAACAGACCGATCTAAAGAAGCGTTCGGCGCATGCGTGACGCCGTCATGGCTTTAGTTCACAGGAATCAGGCAGCTGTGCACGAGGCGGCTCGTACCTTCTCGTGCTCTACACGCGCAGAGCTCCAGCGAGCTTGTTGCACGGCAAGACCAAACTTCCCTCGATGCATTGCGGCAGCGTAGTCAAACTGGCTGGTGAGATCAGTCGATTCCTAGTGATTTTTTAATGCACGGTTGACAGTCACTAAATGTATTTAGTAATTAGTAAAAAAGGCGTATACACACGCTTTATCACTTACGAAGTTTTTCCAACACCGGGGGGACCTATAATTGTGACCGTGAAAGTGAGCTCAGTGAGAGGTCGGGCAATTCCAAGCTGGGGTGGCTACAGAGAAACGGAAATGAAGAAACCAAACGAATATCAACAAATAACTCAATGAACGAGACAAGCTTGGTCCACCACGCAAACATCTGCTCAATGTCTAAGTGCAGAGGGTTCTCGCTAGTTACAGAAAACAAGCAAATTTATATTATATACAAATAATTTCTCGTTTAGCTTTTAATTAAATTCTAGGCCACTAATTAGATTTAATGGCACTTTTTGCAAGCTGTCCCTGGAACCACTATCCTACGACCCCGTTTCTCCAGTTTCTCGAGAAACCCAGCGATCATAACAAACCCGGAGGAGCAGTTCTGGATTGATCTGAAGTTCTATCCAACATTAACGCTGCGTCATCATTTACGCGATGGATTTCTTGTCTCGGAGGAGCGTCAAAAACAGATGAACGGCAAATGAAATGACGTGGAGCTTGGTCATTTTTCACGTTTGTAGTGCTAGCTCTTGTCCGGAATTGATCGCCCTTTATTTTACCGTTCCCCAGTGTTCTTTTAATGAATGCGTTTTAATATATGAATGCGAAACACTAACCATTTCACTTGCTATTTTGTTTATGATAGCTTGAAACACGTCGCTAATGCGGTGATTTGTAAGGCTGCTGACTTCATAGAACAGCAGACAGGGTTTCTTGGAAAGCATCTGTGGCAGGACCCGGCGTACACGCCGGCTGGTGTGCTGAAAAACGAAATAAGGTTAGATCCGGGTAAACATCTATGCCGTGCACGTTATCTAATATTGAACACAAGAAAGTTGGAAGCCAGATCTCGAGAAATTGGCCCATTGTGCAAACTCTGTTCTTGGGCTTAGTTATGAATCACACAAATGAAGTGCTGAGTTGCCTTGTTGCTGCTCGTTGTTTCCGCGGCATTTACTACACGTGATTATCTTAATCCATATATTATCCTGTGTCTTCTATATAATTTTAGTGTGAGTGGTCCACTTTCGGACAGATTACTTAAAGTAAATACCCATTCTAGCGAAATAGTAAAATATTTCTTTCTTTTTTTAATATTGAAGTTCAATTAACTATAATTTTGAGTGAGTGGCAGGTGATTTTCTTACAAAAGCGTATTGTACATTGCTATATTTTCTTACTCACCCCTCATAATATAAGTGTAATGTAAAATGATTATTTAAAAATATATAAAAAAAAGAGACTCACTCCAGCAAAACAGTTGCGTCACTCATTAGTCGTTGATGCCAGCTCCAAAAATTGAAAGCAAGCTCACAAAACTCGTGTTATAACAAATAATTTCTGTTGGTGCATTCCGCCGATGCGGGACGTTAGTCTTCCCTTACATAACTTTGCAACTTATACATACGTTCTATAGAATCACTTTTTCCGGTTCAGTACAACATAAAAATAACATGAAACCGATTCATGTAATCACCTTAGTGATTACATGAATTCGCTCTAAGTAGATCTATGCAGCGGCGTTTAACTCAAACCAAGTGCGGTATGCTATATGAATCTATACGCACAGCCAAGTCAACCATACTGCCGACTAGAAGAGTCATGCCGAGTCTGGGTGTCCTGTGTTCCTTGATCCGATTAACATAGTTCTCCAGGTAAAGGAAACTCGACTCGTCGGTGATATTGTACACTGAAAAGCAAAAATATATGATATAATTAGAAGGACATATCAGTAAATAATGTGCAGCTAAAGAGTACAGACATATGCCAAATTAAAAAAAAAGATAAATCAAGAACCTCTTCTATTAAAGGGGCGGTGCAACAATTTGCGGACTTTGGCTAATTAATTGCGGGGATTGATCCCGGCCTCATGTGAAGCGAAGGGCCGAAAACTATTCTTTCCTACTTGCCCTAGTTTTCATTAAAAAAAATAAAAAAAAATGGTATCTCTGGCACCCCTCAACTCAACATTGAAGCGGCACCAGCTTCGACTGTGACGTCATTCGGAGTGGCGTTGGTTTCCGGTTGGGTGCTTCTGGCTTCCGTGTCCCCAGCGCTCGCTGCGCTCGCCGGCTCGCCAGGCTCGCCGCTCTCCCGCTCTCCCCGCTCTCCCGTCGATTCCCGAACAACATGGCGGCATGAGCGGACGGCCTGAGCGACGTCGAGCGCAAGATGCTTGCGTATAGTAAGTCAGTTGGACTTGTGCGCCGGGCAGTCGAAGTCGAGGTTGAGACACCAGGAACAATAACGATACCACAATACTACGGACCACGACCAACGCACTCCGTCGAGCGAGGGAAAGACAAAACGTCGGAGTTGCTCGTGTAGCCGCCGTAGGCGCCTCGGGCGTCGACGGATGTCGGCGACGGCAGGTTTTGTTGACTTGCGGTAGATGGCGCCACAAATCTTTTAGCGGCAATATTAGGCTTTTGAAGCGTTTCTGCATGCCTAAACAACAAGATTTTTTAAACTTAACCTTAAATCAAGCCTACAATTGCCTAACACTATCACTTACAAAAACCACTCCGAATGACGTCACACCACAGGTTCCATTTGCGGCCACCATGTGGCCGCAGGTTGGGAAAAAAAGCGTTTTTTATTTTGCGATTACGCAGCAAAATAGAGGTATTTTGGGGTATGGTGGCACTTTTTCTCTTACTTATGCTGAAGTAAACAGTATAAAAAATACAAGCTGCACATTCTTTCAGTGTTAAAATCATTGCACCGCCCCTTTAAATGTAAGATGCGTGCTGCACATCTGAACAAATTCCCTCTGAGTGACGTTCTCCCTATAATAATATTGATAGTAATAACAATATTAACCTTCATTGGCTCAGGAGAGCCGAGGACAGCAGAATGGCAACCTGCGGCACCATTCATGCACATTGTACCGCGGCAATTAAATACATGCATACATACATACATACTGCTACGTGTTGAAGGTTGAAGTAGAAAATAAGAATAGAGGTAAGACGAAGTAGAGAACGTAGGGCAAGATTGATAAGTAAAAGCTGAAAGATAAAGGTTACTCAACGAGCGGTGGCAGCAATCCTCTAAGCATAAATACCCGCTCTCAGCCACCAGTTGCAATTTCAACGTGGCACCAGCTCACCGAGCAGCTCTACAATCGGTTGGCCGAGAAGAGTTCGGACGACAATGCCGATCTGCTCGAGTGATTTAACAATCGCCTTTCCGCCCGCATCAACACCGTGGAACATAACATGAACCACAAGATTACTGATGTCCACCAAACACCATCTCTTGACTGTAGAGGCACGCCTGTAGCAGCTACAAGAGGCTCTTCCAGCCGCCCCACCTGGAAATTCGGGCGACCTTCACCTACATCCGGAAACGCCTACGACTCCTCCTCGCGATGTCGACGCGGCTGTGAGGCAGGCGGGATCCAATCGTTTGCATTGACAGTGTCTTCAGGCATTGACAGTCTGAAGCCCCCCACATTCGACGGCCTCGGCCTTTGGAAGGCATTCATGTACAGTTTGAGAAGGTGGCTTTACACAATTAGGCTTCCGCTTGCAAGGCTGTAACCCTTATCGCCAAGCTACGTGAAAACGCCCCCAAGTTGAGCTCCTCGAGATAACGCCAAACTCAACCCTCACCACCTACCTTTCAGCTTCTTTTACAAGCCCTGGAAGCTCGATTTAATGACACCTATCTTCTACAATTACATCTAACGGCCCTAAAGGAATATCGCAAAGACAGAGTTGATCCAAGAACTGGCGGTAGGGATTGAGAGATTGGCCGGGAATACTCTTGTACCGAAGCCACACTGCATATAATTAGTACTTCAGCTTCCGTCGATGCGATCAAAGATGCCTATGTCCAGAGCTTTTGGCTTCAGGCTCAACCTACCACGCTCAGCGCTGCCCTAGATCAAGCATTGAAAATATATCCGGCAAGTCGAGAAACTACCTCCACTGACAGTCAAGCAACTCAGATATCGCTTACTGGTAACCCGCAAAACAACTGCTGTAGGTCTGAATCGCGCTACTGCTTCAACTGTTGACAATTTGGCCACCTTGTCCGCTCATGCCAGAATCCAACCCTTCGACACCAGGGACACACTGCCGCGGGCCCAGCGGGCAGGGTCCCGCGTAGTCTACGAAATTCGCTCTGGCTACAACATCGGCAGCTCTTACGCCGCACCTTTCTGTCCACATCTATGGAATCACAAGTCTACCGATGACATCATAGGCAGGTGAGCCGATGTGGGCGTCGTTGATGCTTACTTGTTGAAATCTTTCAATTATATTTCACCAAGGAGTGGCTGTGGTGATGTCTGAGACTTCTGTCGGTGAACAGTACACTTAGCAAGTCGCTGTGTTTGACGCACTTAATTGATCGACCTAAAAAGGTGTTGAAAGAGATATCCCAATTTTATTTTGTGTAAATCGTAAATACATCAGCCACTCTGGGGTGTAATTGGTGTGCACCTGTGGAGCTTCGCATGTTGTTTGAACATAGTCACGCAGCCTTGCCAACACCACAAGAACACAAGCGCCGTCGCCAGTCGACGGAGACATTCACCCTGACCCGCTGCAACGAAACTGGGCGTGACTTTAACCGAAGTTACGTGCTTGCGCACTGCTGCGCACTACTTTGTGTGGCCAGTTATGTCCGAGCATTTTCGGATACGCTACAGCCGGTTTCAGAAATCTGTACAAAATTTCGGCGTACTTTGTTGCCTCAGACGATCACTTTTAAGCCATTAAGGGTTCTTGTAGTTGCAACGGTGGACGTGACAGTTTCAATATTTTCAGCAGTATATGTGTCGCAGCAACAATCCAGGGTAATCAGCTTTCAGGAGAATTCATAATCGAATCTGTTATGCACTGCCAACCTGGGGTAAAATTTGCAACGCCGAGATGTTTTGTCTCCTTGCACCGAGGGTCCTTGGACGTTCTTGTTGTTAACATGGCCAGTATCGATGTTCACCGCGAACGAGGAACAAGTTTTGGGATAGCTTTTGACGTGTCACCCCAAACCGTGGTAGCCACGGTTGTACGTTTTTCTGTGCTATCCAACTCAAAGAAGCACGAAGAACTTTCCCGAACGTCTGCGTAGACTTAAGTATGACGTAAAGAAGAATGACATCCAAGGCAGCGCGCTGGCGGAACATGATCAGAAGACCGGCCACGTCATTGGCTTTGACAGCAGCTCCATCCTCGACACAGAAAGAAACTGGAGAAAGCGGCTCTTAATAGAATCTTGGCACATACAAAATACAAGCAACAACCTGAACCGAGCAGCTATATACACGGGCTAAAATGCGCCACACACAGAAGCAGAAGAAGAAAACAAAGCTAAGAGAGAAGAGAAGAAAACGACGACAGGTTGCTACCTTTGGGCCCATATACAGTCACCCGTGAACAAGGAGCCGAGCTGGCTTCGAAGCGTCGGGCACATTGAAGAAATTGGTTAGAGTCTACGTTGTACTTTTACTAGCCTAACCAGGCAGAGTTCCGCCGAAATGTTTACATTTAAGCTTTAACTTTGGAATAAATCTATCAGAGATGCCGAAGGCATATATTAAAACATCACTCAAAAGTTCCGAAACTCTTTCGTTTTACGAAAGGTGATAGAAAGAGAGAAAATGCACCATATTAGGATGTGCACCACAACACCGGCGACCATCTGCCAATACACCAGTACCCTCGACGAGTATCCTTATCTGAAAGAAAGAAGATAAACTCTCAAGTGAACGACATTCTTCAAAGAGGCGTTGTGACACCCTTTAGAGGGATGCTGAACCGAAATCTGGACTTCACAAAACACAGCGGCAAAAGCATGCAACTCGATGCTACAAACACCAAAACATCACTCATACAGCGATATCTCAAACGGATGGCAGCATTTTCTATAAAAAGGAGGCGCATTTGACAGATATGTTGACCTCTTGTTTCCCCAGGACGGGTCGACAAGGAGAGGGAACGGCCTCGCGTCTTCTCCCCCTCGCCGTCTTGAGGGGGCCAAGCGAAGAGAGGAGGAAACGAGAATCGTTTACGTCACGCGCCTCGTCGGCCTCGTTCAACCTCGACCTCTTTTTTCCAAAAATACGGCCGTTCATTCGAGATATCGCGTTAGGAGTAGTGTTGTAGGGATTGTAGCGTCCCGCTTACAGCCCCTGCATTGTTTTCCGAAATTCAAATTTCAGTTCACCATCCCAACAGCCCATGGTGATCGGCCGCCGTGCTTGTTAAGAAAGAGGACTACTCGACAATGCTCTGCGTGGATTACGGAAAGCCAGACAGTATCGCCAAACCTGGTGTATGTCTTCTCCCCCGACCTGACGCTGTTGACCGTCTCCATGGATCTCACTACTTGAACTTTAGATCTGATGTCAGGATGCCGGCAAGTTGAACTTCGCACAAATGACGCTAAAACGTCGGCTTCTGCGACTACCGGTGGCCTGTTCCTGCTTAGACGTTTTACGTTCGGGATGTGTAACACAACGGCAATTTTTTAATGCCCCATGGCCTTAGTTTATCTTGGCGACGGAATAGCGTACGCAAACAATTTAGACGAAGATCAACATGCTCTAGGGCTTGTTTGAGATGCCCTCTCAGAAGTTGAACTTCTTCTAAAGCCAGCGAAGGGTTGGTTACGTCGTCAACAAAGTCATTCGGTCAAACCCAACGAAGATGTCAGCCTTTACTAACGTACCAGTGCACA